ACAGCCAGTTTGAGGATAGCAGGACTATGAATAGACCCTGCATCAAACCGCCTTTCCAAAAACAAAACAAAAAGAACTTCTAGATCTTTGGAGAAAAGTATCCAAAAAAGTAAAAAATAAATAAAATAATGATGTAATAATCATCTTTTAAAAGGTGGGGGCAAGGAAATGAATTCTGGATTCTGCCCTTAGACTTCCAAAAGTATCTACTGGCCAAGCTTAAAACCCTGCCTCTAACCAAGTAAAAGTGATTTCAGATCTCTGTCACCACTAAAATAGAACAAATCTGTTTTTATTTTAGTGGCCTAAAATAAGTAAATCCAAAGTACTAGAGAGTTACTCTGGATTACTGAGTTTTACTTATTATTATTACTGAAGATTACAACTGTTATTCCGTTTGGTCTCTGGTTCCCAAGGGGCAAGCCACGCCCACTCCCAGCGACTTCTGACTTCTCCTCCCATCTTGGCTCTTTCTGTTCCCTCTCTTGGCGTGTGCACACGTGTTTTCTGTCTTTTCTCTCTCTCCTTTTCTGTTTCTGTCTTTCTTTCTTTCCCTCTCCTCCCTTTCTTTCTCTGCTCCCTCCCCTTTTTCTCCATAACTCCAAATAAATATTTTAATCTCATTTTACATGTCCATGTCTCTGTCTCCTGCCTGCCTGCCCACAGCCAGTTCTGCCGCTTGCCGCAGGGAATCTGCACTGCTCTGGCAGCCGTCTCTGCTTGGTTTGAGGCTGCTCTGAGAGCCCGCTGCCCAGGGATCTTGGGCAGGTCACTCGGGGGGCACACCACCAGCACTTTTTAAAGAATATTATTTGGTGCCATGGACTCGACAGATTCGCCCGTCCCGGGGTGGGGTTCTGGCTTCAGGCTCCGACTTCCGGGACAGAATTGAGACCGAGGACCTTTTCGACAACGACCCACGTGTTCCATCTGCCTGGGCGCAGATCCTCTGAACACCAGCTTCTAATCGTGAGTGTCCCCATTTCGGCCAGCTTAACCGCCCATTTTGACTCAGGAATTGACCGCTGAGCTCACGGAAAACCCCGGTGTTTCTAGGATGGGGGACTACGCCCAACCGTGGGTCTTCAAGGCCGCGGTTGCTCCCTTCGCTGGCATTCAATTACGGCTTGCATTCTCTGTTGGGCCCGTGCCTGGGACTGCTTGGCCGTGGCCAGCCCCCCAGCTTACCCACACCTGGAGGCCCGGGGTCTCCAGCTCTTCCTCTTTCTCTTTTTCATTCCTTTTCTTCCTTCTTTTTGTCATGATGGCTGCTACGGTGCAGCCTGACTGCTACGGTGCGGCCCAGCCGCTACTGATTTCTGAGCAATCTGCCCAGAACCAGCGAGGCCCTTAGCATACCACATGTGGTTCGGGGACACCTGCCCATGTGTCCTGGGTGTTCGCTCCATCTGCATCTCGCCTGAACGGGGAGCCGTCCTTGTTGTAGGCTTGAGGTGCCACGGTTTTTGTGGGTTTTTTCACGGTCTTGACCATGGGAAGCATGTCGTCCCAGCTTAAATATGCCTTACTTAAAAAATCCTCCACACTTATCCATCTTTAAATTATCTGTTTGCGCGGGTTTTCATGATTCAGGCTCTGGATAGCAACCGCCCATGGCAGGCGGCCCCCAGCTTTTAAAATTCCTGCCGGCTCTTCCATTCCAGTTGTGGCATGGTGCAGTTTTTCCAGTTCCAGCCACAAGCTCCCCTTTGCGGCTTGTGGCATGGCATGGCATGGCATGGCGGCTCAGCAACAGGGCAGATCACGCCTTTAGGTCCCTCTCATTAAGCTTAAAATCCTTACAGCTCAAAAATTGTAACTTTTTTCCCACAACACATGGCCGCCGCCATGTTCACCTAATAAACAGCCTCAACTGCTCAGAGATCTAGGGAAAGTATTTAATTATTTAAAAAACTTTTTGTAACAAAAAGAGACAGGTTGGCTCCTAGCAGCAGCACTCTGTTTCCTCCAAGAAGACAGAAGACAAATGGGCGCAGAACAACGTCCATCTGCAGTTGCAGAGTAGCGTCCATCTGCAGTTCGCTTTGACTGCCAAACGCTGACTATTGGACAAAACTGCCTTTCACCTAAACTAAAGACCCCAGACATGGACAGAATCACTGGATTCGACAGCCTAGCTGCTCTGGTCAAGGTAGGCCTGTCTTCCTACAGATTTTTTAGCTCACAGGGTCTTCTGGAGCCTGACAGGCCCTGCGCTAAACAGCAAAGGTCAAGTGCAACCTTCAGCAACCATGGAGGACCCAAAAGAGTAGCTCTGGGTGCCAACCAAGTAAGTTCTCTGTCATTTTTTAATCAGTAACTCAAGTAAAATCTTATCCTTCTCAAAGATCTCTGACAGTTTGATAGCTGAGAGGTTTTGCCAGGTTGCCCTACCAAATAAAAAATACCTTTCATTGTACAAAAATATATCACAGTCATTATACAATATATATATATATATATATATATACATATATATATATATATATAAAACTTCTGTTTTTACAAACCCAAGAGGAGTTCTTGTGAGCTCCAGGGAGCCGAATTAAAGAATCCACTGTAAACAGGTCAGATACATCCTCCTCAATTCCCTGGTCCTAAAATTTTTTTCCTTAATTTAACTTTGGCCTCTGTTCTGCCAATACCCTAACCAGGTACAAGGGACACCAGACATTTCCATGTCACAGACACCTGTCAGGAGCAGAGACCAACTATGCCAGGATGTGACCAGCACCCAGCCTTCTCTCGGGTTCCCCCCCCAAAGGCGACGCCCACAAATCACCTGGAAGCAGTCTTGAGAATTTGCCGCCCCAATTCCTTCAAACGAATGTCTAATCTCCTGCTTTTTATTATAAAAAGGATCCGGGAACGTTATTCCTTTTGATCTCTGGTCCCTTTAAGGGGCAAGCCACGCCCACTCCCAGCGACTTCTGACCTCTCCTCACCATCTTGGCTCTTTCTGTTTCCTCTCTTGGCGTGTGCACACATGTTTTCTGTCTTTTTTCTCTCTCCTTTTCTCTGTTTTTGTCTTTCTTTCTCTCCCTCTTCTTCTCCCTCTCCCTTTCTTTCTCTGTCCCCTCCCCTTTTTCTCCATAACCCCGAATAAATATTTTAATCTCATTTTACATGTCCATGTCTCTGTCTCCTGCCTGCCTGCAGGCTGCAGGAAATCTGCACCACTCTGGCAGCGGTCTCTGCCTGGTTTGCGGCTGCTCTGAGAGCCCGCTGCCTGGGGATCTTGGGCAGGCCGCTTGTGGGGGGGCATTTTTTAAAGAATATTAACAACTACATTCTGAAGTACTTGAGGGTGAAAAAAAGATTTAACTTGTGAAAGGCACTTTCAAGTAATCTAGGGGGGAGAAGTAGGGTAAATAATTTGCAAGAGATTATGAGTTTGAAAACATACATAAACTGTAGGAGTAGTTTAAGAAAATAAGCTAAGTAAATATGGAAGCTGTGGATGAGAATAATGTGTAGAGTAGTTGGCTGCCTACTATGTTGGAGGTCCTGGTTCTGTCCTCAGTATAACCATAAAATTTTTTTAAAAAGGTTCCGAACCGGGGATGTAGCCCAGGAGAAGTGGTGACCTCCATCTGTAATCCCAGCACCTGAAAAGTGGAAGTTGGAGGATGAGGAGTTCAAGGCCAGCCTGGGATACCTGCTGTCTCAAAGAAAAAACATTTTAGCCTGGAGAAGAATATTGATGATGGGCTGCCTCATCTTTTCAACACAAGCCCTTTCGAGCTTGTTGATTTATGCAAGAAAATCTAAGCCTTTAATCTTGGGAGGCAGAGGCAGGCAGATTTCTGAGTCTTGAGTACAGAGCAAGTTCCAGGGCAGCCAGGGCTACACAAAGAAACTCTATATCCAAAATAAAAAATAAATAAAAATTAAAGGAAGGAAGGGAGAAATTCTAAGTAAGCACACGAAGACCACTTTTGTAAAAGCCTGTCAGCCACCTGAAGCTCGCCTTTCTATCCATTCTCAGGGGTGGAGAACAAGTTGGAAAGGCGCAGGCCACAGTGGTGGTCCTGCTTGAGTGCTCTTCATTGCTAGTAGCTTTAGTAGATGGCTTTACCTGCAGTTCTCCTTGAAGCGACACTTTCCCTCCAGGAAGAAAGGGCAGGGCTTCAGGGACTTGTGGGTAGGGTACAGGTAGAGTACGCGAACACATGCTGAACCGTCCTCTGCCTCTTCAGTGCCCACAACCATTGCATTGTGATATTCTAGAGTGCCCCATGCGCTGTGGTAAGGGGCATTCACTTTAGCACCGCTCAGCTCCTCCTGATCTGGGTCCTCCTCATCTTCCTCCTGTGCAGGGGAGGTGGGTCCCGGCTGCACCTCGTTCCCAGGGACCGTCTCCGAGTCATCCCCGGGGGCGACGGGCGCCTCCACTTCCTCCGCTATAGCCTTCTGGAAAGCCAAGTACTCAGCATCCTCCTGTGCTGGGTGCTCCTGGTCCACTGTAGCCAGCAGCTTGCTCTTCCTGACCGACAGCAGACTGGCCTCGGTGAGCTCGATCAGTTCCTTCAGATCGCCCTGCAGCTGGCGCAGGTCTGCCAGCTCGGAGGCGTCCAGGCCAGCACCAAGGGCCAGCTCTACCTGCCGAAGCTGGGCCCGGTAGGTCTGCAGGGCAGTCTCCAAGTTGTCCTCGTCCATCATTACCCGCGCAGGCTAGCTCCGGAACCGCGAAGGCGGACGAGACCAGAAGGAAGAGCAGTCAGCAGAGCTCAGAACGACACTTCCCGCAACCGCTCGAGAGCCTGGCGAGAACCTCAGCTCTACCAAGGTGGGGAACCACAAGTATCCCACCGCGTCCTCTGCGGTCCGCAGCCCCGCCTCCCTCCGGCGCTGGCAGCCTCCGAGGGCTTCCGGCCTCTCCAGTAAAGCCCTAGCTCCAGCTTTCCGCCGGCCTGCCACAGGCACTTCCGCCCGGGAGCTGATGCTGCCGGAAGTGGCCGCGTTCCGGAGCAGCCAGGATGGGGCGCGCAGGGGCCGCTGGGATATAATTCCGCCAGTACTTGGGCCACCGGTCGGTTTCCCGTCCGGCACCGCGCGGGGTCAACGCGAGGTCGGTGGGGTTTGCAGCGCGGTGTTGGCGGCTGAGACTCCCGGATCTGAGCAAGTGGAGGTGGGTTTTAGCCAGGCTAGGCGACCCGGGTTCCAGAATCCTAGGGGAGGGGGACGGAAGCGACCTCGGCGGCTGGTTCCAGGCTCTGCGGGCCTGGCAGCGGCGGGGTTTTGAAGCCGGCCCACGGCAGAAGCGCTGCCTCTCGGGAGCACCCTAGACGGTCGCTGGCTTAGAACCTGCGACAGTCGTAGTTCCTAGGACTGAGTGGAGGAGGGTCCAAAAAGAGGAGCCTTAGGAAGGCAGAGCAGGGTAGACCGCCGCGGGTTTTTCAGGACTGATGGTGCATTCCGAAGTGGGAGTGACTCAGTTTAGAGCAGGTGATCGGCGGTGGAGACAGGGTCGGGAATCTTACAAAATAGGGGGCAAGGAGTCATGAGCCACGAGGCTCCACATTGAAAACTAGTAGGATAGACGACGGACCACCGATGAAGCGGGCCCGAGGCTAATGCCCCGGGTACACACCTTGACATTTCTCAGGGTGCCAGGGCAGGATGTATACGCTGCTTTCGGGGTTGTACAAGTACATGTTCCAGAAGGACGAATACTGCATCCTGATCCTGGGCCTGGACAATGCTGGGAAGACAGTAAGTGCCTATTCTCTCACCAAGTCCTATTCCTTGCCTTATGTTTTCTTCTTTGGAAATCTAACCCCCACCCAAGACTATAGGTTAGTTGCCACCAGCCTCCCAAAGAGCATTCAGCAGGCAGAGGTTCGTGTGCATGTGTGTGAAAGCCCGAACTTGCCCAGAGCGTGTGGGTGTGGAGGCCTGAATTTTCCCAAAGCGTATGGGTGCGAAGGGATATTTAGGAAAGACACCAGAAAACTGCTTTAGCTGCCACTATAACCACCTCTCTTTCTTTCCTCAGACCTTCTTGGAACAATCAAAAACACGGTTTAACAAGAACTACAAGGGGATGAGTCTATCCAAAATCACCACTACCGTGGGTCTAAACAGTAAGGGGGCACCTTAGAGATATGAGCTTAGGGGTCCTGGTCCCTTAGAGGTGGGTGCTGCAGGTTCCACAGCCCAGCTGGCCAATGGCCAGATCCCTGTCTCTCCATTCTCTGCTCTTGCCTGCTGGGATTGGTACCTGAAGGGTTTGCCTTATCCCAGGAAGAGCTGGGACTTTCTGTGTAAAGATTAAGGCAGGGGCTAGCTCATTCTGTCCTTTCCCCAGTTGGCACTGTGGACGTGGGGAAGGCTCGTCTCATGTTCTGGGACTTAGGTGGGCAAGAAGAGCTACAGTCTTTGTGGGACAAGGTAAGACAAACTCTCTGCTTCCTGCTGTATTTCTCTAGATAGTTTCTCTTAGCCTCTTCTTCCATGAGTATGCCTGTTGTTCACATTTACCCTGAAGACTTTCACTTTTTTTTAAAATTACTTCTTATTGGGGGCGGGGGAGTGTCACAGCATGCATGTAGAGGTCAGAGGACAACTTTGTGGAGTCTGTTTTCTGACATTTACATGGGCTCCAGAGATCCAACTCAGATTGTCGGGCTTGCATAGCAAGCACCTTTACCTGCTGAGCCATCTCGTTGGCCCTGCCTAAAGGTTTTCTCTTCAATCCTGTCTCAGGTTCCCAGGTTGCTTTCTGTCTCACTCTGGCAAAACCCAGGCCTAGAATCAACATAGAAGTGGTACCAGAGAGGTTCCCATAGGGAGTACCAAACCTTTTCCTGATGAGGCCACTATCAATCCCAAAGAAAGAAGCATTGTTCACCAGGGTAGTCAGTGTAGAGCCCTGACTGGGGAACTCTGTAATCTATGCCCTTACAGGCAGACAGAAATGGCAGAGATCATATATAGGGAGTGGACAAATCCTTTGTTTACTGTTGAGTCTGTCTACCTCATTCTAGCTTCTCATGGTTCTTCCAAATGACCTCTTCCCCATCTGAGAAGCAGAGGCACCTGCCTCTTCTTTGGGCATTGCTTTTAGACGTTTCTGAGATTTCTCTCTGTATACACTCCTACATTGGCGTCTCCTCCACCCAGCCTGTGCCAGGTACTAGGTCCAGCATTGCATAGAACAAGCCCTGACTTTCCTTCAGTGGTCTCCTGCCCCGTGGTTGGCACGGTTACCCGGTGCAGCCCAGTGCTGTGGTACAGGTGCTTCAGCTACTGTCATGCTTCCCAGCAGCCATATATTACAACCCAGGGCCAGTTTTGCTCCCAGTTCTTGCCTGGGCTTCCGTAAGATGTTTCTTCTTGCTGTAACTTAGCAAGAGGGTGGCATCTGTCCTGTATGCAGAAGGTCTCTGCTGTCCACCAGGTTGGACAGAGGACAAGCCTAGTCAAGGGGCAGCGATGTACATTGGCATCTCTAAGCATCAGACACAGGTGGGGAATCAAATCATTTACTGACTATCTTGTCCCAGGTTAGGTCTTGAAGTGGACACTGAGATGCAGAGTGTGTGTGTGTATTGGGGTTATCACCAGGACAGTGGCAGAGAGGGAGCTTAGCAGAACTGGCTAGGACCCCAAGCCTGCCATCTTCTGAGTCACCAGTCACTGCTCTTTGCGGTGGACAGCCAGAGTGAATGTCTGCACCGCTTGGATATGTACCCCACATGGGGATGCCCCTTCCGAGAGGAGGGTAGACAGCAACCTTGTCAGCTGGCTGGCCATGATGTGATTTCCTTATGGCTGTTTGAGTCACCTGTCATCTTGTCTCCTGCCAATCAGGGGCAGTTATCTTTGAGCAAATGGAGCCCAGTGTGCCCACTAGTGAGCCATGTTCGGCTCTGCTGGGTTTGTTGTTTTGGTGGACAGGACCCACTCTCCCTTACAGTACAGTACTGTACTCTAATCCCTACAGTACTCAGGGTTGTGAAAATGTACAGCAGAATTGCTTCTAGATTACTAGGAGGGTCAGGAAGAGGGGCCTCTTGTCCTACCTTGGTTCCTGGATACTGTGTCCTGGCCTGAACATAGCACCTTAGGAAGGTCTCTCATTGTGAGAGTTAGTATCTGGTCCTGGTATCCTGCAATAGTGCTACCACATGGGCACTGTGGCCCAATGGTGTCTGTCCTGCTTGGGTCCACAGGCTGTGTTGTGACTTGAATCTCCTCTGCTGAAAGGACAGTCAATTGACATAAGACTGTGGCCTAGTGTATTTTGCCCAGGGAGTCTCATGTTGCTGCCAAGGAGATATGCTTGTATTCTGGTTCCCTCTGACTTCCTTAAGAGATGATACTTCATGGGGCTTAGCCATGCTGCCCTATCAAATGAAGTGCCTAGCAGGGGCTCCGTTGGCCTTGGTGAATGGAACCTATACTGATAAGTTTTTGTCTGCCATTCAGTCTTGCACAGTACCACTGTTGGGCCAGTGACTCTTGACAGTGCTCTTGTGAACCCTGAGATAGAAACCTAGTCACCATGTCTGCTGCTTCATATGCCTTAGGCTTTGGTACCTACTCTGCTGACAGAGCAGAGTGCTGTTGTCCATAGATCTGTGCACATACCAGGCTTATATCATTTCTCACACAAGCAGGACCAGGTGGGCTATCAGTCTCTGGTCTGTCCCATGTCTAGCCAAGAGTGTTTCCTTATGCTGGTTATGTAGGTCTGTTTGCCCCTCCCCCAGCACACACTCATAGCCACAGGTGTGACTTCTCAGCTGAGATTAGTATGCCTCTCTCATCTCTGGCAGCTGTTGGACCTTATGTCTGTGGGTTTGATGAGTGACTCTAGCTACTTGGTTCCTGGGTCTTGTGCCTAGTCACATAAGATGTTCCTGACAACCTTTAGAACTAGTGCTGCCTATTGACTCACTGGGCTTGCTGCAACCCTTATATCATCCACTGTTATCATAAATGCCCCTACAGTAGGACCTGCCTGCTCTCAGGCCTCCAGCAATAGGCTAACCCACTGCCTTGCTTTGAGAGCTAGCAGCTTCTGTGCCAGACCCGTTGCAAGGTTGGAGCTATTTGGATGAGTCTGGCTACAAAGCCCTGCAGAAGGAACCTGGGACTGGCCTCTAGTACTCTATGGGAAATGCAGGTGGGAAGGGAGTTTTACTGACTTGGGTGTAGTGTTCCTTTCTTACTTGTCACACAACCTCAGTGGTATACATCCTACCCTGTCTGTAGCACATTATTTTACCAGTCAGTGTTGACTTCTCCCAGCGTGATTCTGATATGAAGTGGCAAGTATATGCTATTTGCCCCATATTGACAGGCATTACTGTTTTGATTGGGATAGGAGCTCATGCAATGTCTTCATCCCTGCGCTCACCTTGCTCCATTTGTTTTCCTCACCCTTGTTGAAAGCCTACGTCTAACCTGCAGAAGGCTGAGTTTAGTACTGTCATTTTTGTTCATGCAGGATAGCTTCATAGGTAGTGCTGACCTCAGCTATGAGTCTCTTAGCTTCACAGCCTCTAGCTCTGTCTCTTACCCTTTACTCAACATGATATAGCCAGGGCAGCAGGTGAGTTCTCAAGAGCAGCCCATGAGCAGGAGGAAGTAGATCACCCTGCCAGAATCAGCAAGCCTTCCTCAAAGGTGCTATGTTATCTTTACCACTAAATGAGCTCCAGAAAGCTTCCTAGCAAGTCTTCCCACTAGGTTGTGCCAATTTTTTCATTGTGGCCCTGGAGTAGCAAAGTTTTCACCGCTCACTCTTGTGGGCCTCTTCTGGTAGTTGTGACACAAGGTCTCACTGTCTAGCCGGCCCAACTGCGGTACCTGTAGCCCCCACCTCCCTCCTCTTCCTTCTAGTACTATGCAGAGTGCCATGGCGTCATCTATGTCATTGACTCCACTGATGAGGAGAGGCTGTCAGAATCCAAAGAGGCATTTGGTGAGTGTGGCATGGCCACTCAAGGAGGGAGAGAAGATGGGAAGACCTACATCTAGGGAATCGTGTGGGGAGGGGCATATCAAGTGGTGTGTACCAGCCTAATCTGGATCCTCCCACGTCTGGAACTTGCCTTGAGGGAGGCTGGGCTTACACCTGATGCCAATGCCAAAAAAGCCTCAGTTGCATTGCTTGGGCTGTCTAGTATGTGAGGGGAAGGGTGGAAGGGAGCTGTCTGCACACACCTTTGGGCCTGGGCAGAGCCTGCAGTCACGAACAGGACACAGGGTGCAAGGCACCACCTTTCCTGCTTTCCTCAGAGAAGGTGGTTTCGAGTGAAGCACTGGACGGTGTCCCCATCCTGGTGTTGGCCAACAAGCAGGATGTGGAGGTGAGCCCCACAAAGCTGCTGTAGGGCCTCTATTGCCACTGTAAAGAAAGTGATTTGTATGCCTCCAATTCCAGAACCTATTGTCTGTACCTTCCATCCCAATCTCCCCTCTCTGCCCTTCTTGGGACCCCTCCCTTACACCCTTAGGATCCCTACTTTGCCAACTTCAGTTCTTTTCTGGGTGTCACTGGAGCTGCCACCAGGCATGTTCCTGCTAGAGGTTCCTACAGTCAGAGTGCAGATCCATCTTTTTCCCAAAGGAGGACCAGGGACTTGTGTTTGTGGGTGTCCCCAGGGATTCTGGGAGTAAAGGGGCCTAGAGCAAGACCCAGGAGAAAATTCTGGGTTCAAAGAAGTGGAAGTAGGGGGCATAGAGATAGCTCAGTGATTAAGAGCATGTATTGCCCTTCCAGAAGACCCGAGTTTGATTCCCAGTACCCATGTCAGGTGGCTCACAGCCATCTGGGATTGCAGCCCCAGGGGTTCTGACACCTTTAGCCTTAGTAGATACCTGTTCTCATGTGTACATACCCACCCCGACACATACATATATATAATAAAAACCAAATCTTTAGCTTTTAAAGTGGGAGTGGAGGGGAGAAGACAATGGGCATCTTCTGGGATGAGGTGCTACTTCCCTTTGGACTTCTGGCCACACAAAAGTTCCTACCATCTTACAAAAGGGGCTCTGTACAGAAAGAACCTTAAAGGATATGGTAGCAACCAGTAGCTAGAGGGCCAAGGAAGCTTCATTTTTCTGTGGCCCTGTGTATCTAACCTAGTTACATCTAACATGACCTGTTCTCCGTTCATTTTCCTGAGGACTTCCCCCAACTCCATTTCTGTCCCCAAACTAGTAATAGAGGTCTCTGGTACTTGATTCAGGAACTCAGGGCATTCCCTTAGATGGAAAGGGGAACAGAGAAGCCACTGAATACTACTAAGACTTCTCAACCCCAGAACCCTGGACTCTTCCTCACTTGGCACTAGAACTCCTGACTTAGTTCAGGGTTGTGCTGGTAGATGCTCTGGGGGTTGTTCTTGGGAGTGGTGGGGAATGTTCTCTTGAGAGCTGGGTGTAGGTTCCCTAAAGCCCTGGGCAAAGCTGTCAGCAGTAGACTTGGACCAGGTGCAGCAGGCTCACCTCTGCTGAGGGACTGTGGCCTTCCTGAATGCCCAAGTGAGAAAACAAGCTGGATGGAGCTATGTGGTGGAAGTGTCTCAGAGTCTCACCTCCCCTGTCAGACCTGCCTCTCCATTCCTGACATCAAGACTGCATTCAGTGACTGTACCTGCAAGATTGGCCGTCGAGACTGTCTGACCCAGGCCTGCTCTGCTCTCACAGGGTGAGTTGAGGCCTCACTCTCTAGCGTTCTCAGGACCAAGGCTATCCCTGCCTCACACATACTGTCTCCACAGCAAAGGAGTTCGAGAGGGCATCGAATGGATGGTGAAGTGTGTCGTGAGAAACGTTCACCGGCCACCACGGCAGAGGGACATCACATAAGCAATGCCAGCTTCGCAGTCTTGGGACTATTCATCCCTGGTGTTGGAAGAGTACTCCCTGCTGGCTGTGTGCTACCTATGCTGGGGTTGAGCTGGCTGTGTTTGTTCATTCATTTATTTGCTTTATGTTTTCTCTAAGACAAACTTTTCTCTGTGTCTAGAAAAGTGTAGGTATCCAGAGACAAATGGGGGGGGGGCATACAGGTCATCCAGCTCTAGATAAACTACCTCCCATTCCATCCCATCCCAGATCTGGGACCCTCTCAAACTAGTAAGGAGGGTTAGGGTGAGGCTACCCCAGGCTTGCCTGTTGGCCCATTCCAAAGTGGACTTTGAGGGCACCCTGCTTGAAATGGGCGGTCTATCTCTGACTGCTTTGTCCAGCTTGCTCATGTAAAAGGTGGGAGTGGCCAGGACTATCCCACTTGGAGAAAGACCTAACCAACATCCCAGAGGCCAGCATGGCCCCTTGTTGTTTTGTTTGGAGTTGAGTGTGTGTGAGACAGAGTTTTCTGTAACCCATGTTAGCCCAGAACCCTTTGCCTCCTTCTCTGTACCTATGGGAATTATAGGTGTGGGGCATCACACACCTTTCCACTAGGTTTTGATACGGTCTCAGGACAGGGTTCAGTACACCTGTCTGGGAAGTCTGACTTCCCTTATTCTCACGCTGATTTATCTACAAAGGAGAAAGCTGATATAGAATTGCTTAGAGGTCAAATCTTGCTGAGTGTACACTTCAGTGCTCCCACACTCAGGTTGTGTATGTGTGGTGTCCTGAGGGCACACTTTTCACCAGGTTGTTAGGTGTTGCTACAGCTAGTGCAGGTGGGCTCGGTCCCTACAGGGTCCACGTCAGTGAAGTGCTGGATTTGCATCTCCAGATGGTGTGAGGTGCAGATTCCTGGGGGGCAGCAGCCCTGCCCAGTTAAATTTTTCCTCATGTGGCCAGGATAAGGTTGTAAAATAAAGACAGCCTAAGTGGCTCCTGCACAACCATCCCTTCAAGCAGCCAAGCACTGGTTCCCCCCACTGGTAATTTATAGCCAGAAGCTGCTGCCCTAGAATGCCTGCTGAGCCAGAGCTCCCAGGGAGGCTTGTAGCTATGGCTAAGCCTCGGTTCCTGACCTAGTGGCTCCTTGTCCAAGATCATCCTCCTCAAGGGGAGCTGGGAGGGGTGGCTGAGAAGTTATAAATCAGGAGGAGGGCAGTGAGTACTCTGATAGAGAGGTCCTATCCCATAGGTGTCCTATGAGCTGGGTTGAATCCTTCCTAGAAGATCCTCCTGGGAATTAAAGAATAGGCTGTTCATAAGATGGACAAACCAGACATTCCAGGTGTCTCCCTGGCCACCTCCCCTCAATTCTGTCAACATTGAGCGAGACTAGCAGCTTTATGGGGTGACCTTTGGGACATCTTCTGGTAGACAGGGAGCAGATGTGCCTTCCTATGGACGGTGGTCATCCTGGAGCTCACTGACTTGTGAACAGCTATCATTCTAGAGGCAGATGCATCTCTGTGAGTTCAAGGCCAGCCTGGTCTACAGAGCAAGTTCCAGGGCAGCTGGAGCTGTTACATGGAGAAATCCTGTCTCAAAACACAGCAAATAAATAAATAAACCTGAAGAGGTCTAAGGTTAGGTGACATTGATTGGGAGCATAGAATAAAGTCCTATATACAGTGAAGAGTTAGCCAGCCACAAGAAAATTGTTGCATTAGCACCTCTACAGATCAGGCAGCCTAGCCTCATGCAGCAGCTAAAGCAATTGTAGCAACAGAGTGTGTAATCCTGGACTTAGCTCATTGGAGAGCTGTTGTTGAAGCTGTAGCTGTAAGGCCACAAAGGCCTCCTGTGATAGTGATGAATCCCATTTTCCTGGGTTTGCCAGAGCCTGCTGCAGTCACTACAACCCTTTAAAAAAAAATGTTCTAGCAAGTCAAGATGATGTGTTCAAAGTTCATACAAAGAAGTCAGAAGAGACCACATGGGTTGCTAAATTCAAAGAACTAAAGAAAATGCCAAGGTATGAAAGTAGGAACAAAATGCCCGTGGAAACAAGGGATAGGATAGCTATTCAAAGAGGGGCTTTCAGGCTAGACTGCCTGATGAAAGTCCCTTGAGCCCTATGTTGGGAAAGGTTAAGGAAGGCCAACATGTACTTGGAACTGAGACCTGACAGTTGGGCTAATACAGTTGCCTTTCCAGGACTCTGACCCTGTCTACAAAAAGGATGAACTGGGTAAAGTTGAAGACCAAACCAAGGCTAGGACAGAGCAGTTACAGTGAGGACAGCACTGCTCTGAACTTGAGCAGCTGGCTGAGGTGCCTGTAGGGCACAGGGCCCTCTGAGTATTCCTATTGTTGTGTGCCTGATGATGTGGGTGGAAGATGGCAGGATTGGGGAATGTTTGGGGTCTATCTTCCTTCTGCAGCTTAAGTCCTAAGATCCTAGTCTCACTCCATGCCAGTGCCAGATGGCGCTGTAAAAGCTAAGAACGCCCATGCTCAAGCTCATGGGGAAAGCGCACATACATAAGCATCCCGGCTTGCAGTGTAGTTAGGCTGGACAATTTCATATAGGTAAGTCCTGGAACCACCCATAAGGGCTTTGAGGCATGGCTGGTGGAAGGATGGAGTGACCTCCTATCAGTTTAGAAGCTGGCTGGATACAGAGAACACTACAGGTCTTCAAGAAGGGATCTTCCCAGAAAGTTGTCTTTCCATTTTTTTTTTTTTTTTTTTTTTTTTTGAGACAGTGTTTCTCTGTGTAGCCCTGGAACAGGCTAGCCTCAAACTCAAAGATTGCCTCCCAAGTGCTGGGATTAAAAGTGTGTGCCACCATTGCCTGGCATTGCTTTCCTCTTTTTCAAGGCAGTCTCTGTAGCTTTGGCTGCCCTGAAACTGTACCGGTATACTTGGCACCTCCGAGGCATGAACACCATCCTGTCAACTGGTTTTATTGGACAGCCTATCCCTTTAGTAATATAGGCACAGTGCCAACATGGGCCCTCAAAATCTCTGGCAAAAAGGCATCTAGCAGACCCACCCATTATGCCCTGAGATTTCAAGGTTTCTGACAGGTAGCTTCAGATCCATTAGATGGTAAAGACTTGCAGTGGATCAGCAAGTTGCGACATCAGGGCTCCCAAGAATCTCCATCTGTGTTCACTGGGGCTTCGGCCAGAAGACCTGTGTAATGCTCTGCTTCCTATTAACAGCACCGCAAGCTGGACACATCCTAGAGGCCTGTAGAGATACCTGCTAGGCACTGCAGCCTGACCAAGTGCACACCCTAGGCCCCTCAGCCCACCACCTGAAGAGATGCCTGATGGGTTGGAGAGGGTCAGACCCCAACCTGGAGTTGCAGTTGCCAACAGGCCCAACAGCGGCAGAAATCACAGGAGGGGCACTGGAAAAGCGCTATGTCTTCAGTTTCACAAGCTGGGCACACAAACACTGCTATAGGAGGTCTGAGTGAGCACACAGTCCCAGGGCCCTGCCATAACCAGCAGTCCCTATCGCCCCTATTGCTTACCCCGATTAGGCTTCTTAAGTTGCTTTGGGGTAGAATCATCAGACTTCACACTCTGGTCTGGCGTCTGTCTAAGGAAGTTTGAGATCTTACTCTGGGTCTTCTCAGGTTTCTTGGACACTGAAGGACCTGCATACAGCAATGTAAGAAGCGTGTGTTTCCCTCCTGTTCATCCTAAGTGCCGTGAGGGCCACAGTGTGACAGGGCAAGGGAGGAGGGAGCCATCAGGGGGCCCTACCTGTTTTTGTGTCCTCCTCGGAGAGCTCAGAAGGCACAGTTGTGCTCTCATTCCTGGGACCTGGGAGCTCCAAGCCCCTGCTTGTGGTCGGCAAGCCCATCAGGTCTGCACAGGTCTGCTGAAACTGGGGCTTGTGGTGGGGACGCACAAACATGCCAAACCCTGTGGGGAGCTTTCGTTCAGGCTCTGCATTTCTTACTTAAAGCCCCTACACCGCCCTCTCTCTAGAACCTATGCCTCACATCCAAGGACTACATACTCTGTAGCAGGGATAAGTGTTCAGGTTTTGCAGTAGTCAGTGCGGCCACCACAGCTAGCACCTTGCCCAGGTCATCATCCTGTTTGTATGCCCTCAGAGCTGCCATAAGCTGGCTGCAGTCTGCGGGTCCCAGAGCCTTGCGTACGTCAGATAGGTAGGTGTTCACAGCAGGCTGGCCGGGTTTCTCTACTGTACACCCCACTTTTGGACAATTGCTGAGGTCTCCTGGTGGGAGAGAAGTTACTGGGAATCCCTCCCCATTCCACTTCTTCAAAGATATCCCTGTAGAGTCTGTCAGCTGCTCAGGACAAATGGGTCCTGAGTCCAATCAAGCAGTCCAATACAATACAATACAATACTGAATCAAGCAGTCCAATACAACTCTTCAAGGATTTTTAAGTCCCACATGAGGTCTTTAGTACCTTTAGGGGGTAGATGGGCAGACAGGTGAGGCCTCCCCTGGTTCAGGTGCTCTCCAGGATCCAGCTGTCTACCTATACCTTCAGACAAAGTTAGTTTAGGTTCTTGACACTCTCCTTCCTGGAGAAACATGCTCCTAAGATTAGACTTCACAATCCTCAGACAGGAAAGGGACCACATCACAGACCCACCCAACTGGTTCAGAGGTCCCAGACAATGGCTCCAACTTAGAAGTACAGACATTAGGAACCTCACCAAAAGGTGAATTCCCCCAATCGAATAAAGTCCCTCTGCCATATCTGCCCTGCAGCAAGCACTGGAACAGGTACTGCCTCTGGAGGAGCCAGCTCAGATATTCAGTCAGGACAGAAGTAGGACAGGTGCCCAGCTGCCAAGACTCTAGCATGAATTCCCCAGGGGAAGGTCTCTTGGATGCCTAGGCTAGGAGACAGAGTTCATCCAACAAATAGTGCTATCATTGGGCAACAGAATCAGCTTGGCTAATCTAGGCGAGCAAAACCCTAGGGATGTCTACTATGCCCATCTCAGGTGTAAACTGCCCTGCAAATCTGAGATTGAGGGTCTAGCCTGGGGCCTTGCTCACTGGTGGGGTCCGCAGCTGACTGTGCTTGTTCTTGGAAGGGAAGGCCATGCTTTGGCTGGTAGCCACAGCGTTGGCCTGTCAGCTGGAAGCAGACGTCTTCAAACTGCTGCTTGTGGTGGGGTCGTACAAACTGGTAGAAGCCTGTAAAGAGTAGATGTGAGTTTATGGGCTCCATACACTGTGACTGACGGGCTAGGGGCTCTGTGGACCATAGCCTACCCACCAGGACCTTTCTCTAGGAAAGAGAGACAACCCTGGGTCCTAGTAGCCTTCAGAACCAGTTCCACCCCACTACTGTGGTGTTAGCCCTATAGCAGAATTTTGAAGGTGAGGGCACCTTTAAATAGAGCGTGCTTCTTAGTGTCTTCAGCAAAGAGACTGATGAGAGAAGCCACTAGGGCTTCAAAGTCATCAGAACCCTTATACTGCTGTAGGGTCTGGGTAAAGGTGTTGAAGTTGGCTTGGCTCAATGCTTGCTTCACTGCTACCATGAACAGTTTGGCTCTGTCTTCTTGTGTGCCAGCCACTGGTTTCTCCTGCAAGACAAATGATCAAAAGCCCTATCAGAGTCAGCCCTTCCCTCCTGCCTTGGAGGCAGGACAGAGTCTAGAGCCAGGGGATAATGACTTGCATTGAGGCTACTGCCTATGAACCATCTACTGGGACAAGAAGCAGAGAGGGCTGCTGGAGAAGCAAAGTCCAGCTCTGGTGTGTGGTGAAGCTTAGGCCTGTCTCAAGCCTCACCAAGGACCCAGGAAACTATAGGGAACCTGTGTAGCTTGCTTCCCCACAGCACATGTTGTGGAGGACACTTCTCAACAGGTTCAACCCTAGGTCTATACAACTCAGACCTGCAGAGAATTTGTAAACCAAGGCAGCTCCCACTCCTACCGTTTGCTTAGGCCCTTCCCTGCTAGTCTACTTCCAGATACATCATCATCC